CGATCATATCAAATTTTACAGTGTCGATGCGAGAGGTTCGCTCGCAAATGCAATGTTTGCGAAGACGATTTTTTCGTCTTCACAAAATGCGAGCGTGGTTCTATTTCAAAAATGTCTCAGATTCAACCGGAAGAAAATTTGTTTTGTGAGATATTTGGCAGTCATCCAATGACAAGTCCCTTGAATACCATTTTGCTGTCAGCTTTCGGAGGAAAAAACCACGAACGCCACAAAAATTCGTTTAAGTACCCATGGAGGTGCATGCGGCGCACCCCGCGCATAGCCTTGAGGTATTGCTTGGTCCTCACCTCCCACACACCTTCGATGGACTGTGTGAGCCGTTGATGGGGTTGACAAAGTTTTCGGAGTGGTTGACCCAAGCGTGGGTGTAATTCATGCCACGCAGCCTGGGGTTGGTCTCCAGGGTGTGCCGCTCATTCGACGACACGTACGAACCAAACTTGTCCGACATGATTTTGGTACCTGGTTTGATATACTTCCAAGTGGGACAAAGTAGGCTTCGTACGTGCGTCGAATGTTAAAATCCCAAACCACTTCTTCGTCATGCGGTCGACACCTCCAAACAGCTAACAGTCCGGATGCTGAATGACGCGGTTGTACTTGGACTCTTTTTTCAACGACGTTTCGACGATTTCGACGATCGACCAACGCCGTCAATCTGACACAAATAATTATCATTAATATTTGGTTGAATAAATACAATTAACTAGAACGAAACCATTACAATATATACATATATATGGATCACTGTAGTAAAAATTCAGAAATATACATGGTAAACGTATATATAAATATATGTATATATGACATGAATATATATATATATGAGAGAAATATACATGTTGAATGCATGCATACTGTAGTAGATAAATGTATACCTATATTCATGTGGAATAAAGAAATACATGTCTATGCATATTCATGGGGAAGAAATAAATACATGTATATTCATATTCATGGGGAATAAATAAATACGTGTATATGCATATACATGGTGAATATATAAATACGTGTACTAGTATGTGCGTGCATTACATGTGGGCAAATTACATACATGTATTTGCATATACATGGGGAATAAATGAATACAGTAGATGTATTTACATATCAGAAAAATACACAAAGTATGAATGAATAGATAATAGATGAATTCAGTTACGTACCTTCATTTCGCATGTTAGCATTTCGGCTGAGCAAACCTCGCGGCAAAAGTTAAACCAGTCGCCGGCCGAGGTTGGTGACACTTCTTGCTCTTTCGTCACCACGGACACTGACTTGCGCGATGCCCAGTCAAACATCAGGCGGACCGCCTTCGTCAATGGCAACCTTTACTTGACAAAGAGCGAGTCCGCCTTGATGCTTCGCTGGACATCGCCACAAGCAGACCGGCGGCAGCGCCAACGCTTTGTTGGGAGGGACATGGTCATGGCGCCATCACACTTTGGGCAGAGCATGACTTTCTTGAACAGGCCAACTTTTAAGCACCACGTGACGGTGGCGTCTTCATCACACGTCACCTTCATTACCTCTTTGTATGAGAAGTCATGAAGGTCGCGCAGGTCGTACTGAGCGTCCATGGTGGTACCTGAAGGTGCGGACTGGTTGGTGAATTCGACAATAGCGGGGGATAAGAAGTCATTTGTTATCATTCAAAACGTTATCCGGTCGTTTCTCGTGCCCAAATCGGGGCCAATACTGGAGTTGATTTGGTTGCTTGTCATTCTTTTGTGTGTGGTCGAAGGAGGTTTGGCGGTCGAGGAGGGGATGTTTTATCCGGATGAATTTTTGGAATTGAAAAAAATTAATATAATTAGTGACCGGGGGCTTATATGGAAGAGTGCCTAGCAAGCTACAGGCAATCACTTGGACGATGGCGTGGATTATCCAGCGTATTGGGAGCACGTGGTGACGTAACTTGGCGACAAGAACAGCCTTGGCCACAACGAGTTCGGATCAAATGACGACGGGACTGACAACGTCAATGTTACCAACGATGTAAACTCTGGATCAGAGATTGTTCTCATCGTCGCTGTGATCGCCATCCAAGTGACAAAAACTTGCTCCATCGAGCGCGGCAAATGGTCTGGTTTCCTTGGGAGAAATCTTGGTGAGAGGGTTAGTTAAAGCAGATACAACCAGTACTGGAAATGTTTCGACCAACGAGAAATTAGATGTACTTGTGGAGTCACTGGAGAAGTCAAAAAAAGATGCATGCGGCTTTGTTGGATCATCGTCGCGAAATTAACCGGCAATAAATTGAAGTCATTTGGAAAATCTATTTTCTTACGCAAGTATTTATGTATTCTTTCATGGCATTTCTAGCGTTGATAGCTTGCTGCCCATCCACTAAACTCCTCTGGCTCAATCTAGTGATATCTCCACCAATGTGCATCTATTCCGCATACATTGCGCACTCGTCCTCTGAATCGGAGTCGCTTTCGTCTGGTGCGGTTAACGCTAGGTCGATGATCCAAATGTTCAGCACCATTCGGCCATTTCTACATAACAATAATTCAATCAATCAGCCGGACATAACTACGCTCGGGGTGTGGTGGTCTAGGAGACTCTTGAATATCCTAAACTTGTTCTTCCAATGTTCTTTCAACTGACGTCCATGTGCGGCTACGAATGTAATTGTAGTGAACTTCCTCGCGAGGCGTCCCGTGTCTGAATTCAAATGGAGTGTTCATATGCTTGAACAACTTGTACCCTGCGTCGACCAGGAAGAATATCCCCGGTGGGATTATCTTGATAAAGAATAATAATGGGGTCAATTAGAATGTTATGCTCCACATCTCACAGGATCGTTCTGAGGCCCCCGTCGAATCGAAGAGGACATGAATCGCAGTTTGTGATCGACCATGCCTAATTGTATAGATTATATCACCAATGGGTGACTGCCAAATATCTCGCAAATCAAATTTTCTTCCGGTTGGATCTGCGACATTTTTAAAATAAAAGTACGCTCGCAAGTTCGCAAACAAACCATTTGCGACCACCCAACTCGCATTCGCACCTTGTTATCTTATACTTGAAATATTGATTCATGTAGTTCTTCAAGATATCGAGGAATGGTGTTGTAACAAATCTTCGTTCGCCATGGCAAAGTAGTCGGGTCGAGGCAAGTCGTGATGCCCAGCATCCGTAGACCTCCTTGTCGACATCACAGTTGATGTACTTACTACCTCTCGGTAAGAACGGATGGGAAAAGGTAGAACGCCGGTTCAACTTTGGCTAAACCGAAGCTGCTCCCCATGCGCGACGCAGATGTACTGAAGCGCATGTTCTTGCTTCTAGAGAACCACGCCAAGCCAACTGGCGATCCTGACTGTCCCGAAGAAGTGCAAACGGCAAAGCGGATTCAACGCGACATCGACCTGTCGGCGTCAGTGCTGTCTCTCGACGACGACTTCGAAGAAGGTACATGCTAATCAACCCCAATCTATGAACGACGTTCCATGGATACCCTGTTCACCCCTCCGACGCAACCGACGATGTTGGTCGTACTGGATTGCCCTGCTCGGAGTTGCAGCTGCTGAGCGACAAGTTGAAGCAGGGTCGGGATCCCTCCGAAGTGTCTGGGGGGTTTCTGTCGTACACGGCGAAAAAGCGTTCGATCGACAAGTTTATCGATGGCGCTGCCGATGCTGATGCCAAAACGTCATCCGATATAATGACATTGTTTCTACTGATGGACGAGCTGGCGGCGAAGCGTGAGGAGAGCCGTATTGAGCGTCAAGAGAAGTACGAGAAGTGCGGGAGGCGCGCCGCGAAGAAATGCATCTTCTCATTAGTATGATGCTAGGACATAACCAATAATTTCACATAGAACGAGTGGAATTGCACATATTTGCAGGCATTTCGCACAATTTATAAAAATATTTTGACTTAGAGCGTGTCTAAACCTGCAAAGCAAGGCTAATTAGTATATCAGTCGGGCAATAAGATGCAACATGTCCCTATCAACTTCCAGAAATATTGCATTTCAATAAGATGCAACATGTCCCTATCAACTTTCAGAAATATTGTCCTATATTTGCCCCTTTACGAAACACTTTACGAAACACAAAATACTGGAGAAATCGATACCTTTGCAATGATAAAGATTGAGAGTTTTAGCACTTTCAAATTTTGCATCGCGAACGTGGAGCATCAAGGACACCTGATCATGGACTGCGTGCATCAAACAGAGACAACAAGTGTACGTCTACCCTTCATTACTTGTTTAGAATGTCATACATGGAATGGTAGCTCATATCTCCAAGACGACGTTCGCCCACAGCGCTTGCATCTGGCGTGCCGAGGTGTCGATGGCACAATCCTACAAGGCTTTCATGGAAGAACGCACTTCAGGAGGGTACGTCCGTAGCCGTCACCTCTTGCTCTGAACGTCTTGATGTTTCCAGCAGCGCCAACATGACTTTCTTGGCCTTGGAGAAGTTCGCTTGGTCTGCCCGGGTCGCGAAGTCTTTCGAGGTAGATGTAGGTTCCACAAGTCGTACACCTTTCCCTTCGGGCACGCCAACTTGGAGAAGGAAAGGTTTTTTTGCAGGGTCCACCAGGGGACCGGGGTGGCAGCAGGTGCATTGGCCGTCGTGGGCTCGAGACTTGCCGTCGACTTTGAGGTTAATAATCCCATCTTTTGCAACATTGTTTCACTGAATACTTCTAATGTCGCACTCAATGCCGCCATGGTAATAGGCTGCTCATGGGATCGTTGCAGTTGACGGGTAATCTCTGCTGGGATATTGTCTATTTTTTGCAAAATAGATTTTTGCATCGTTTCAACGGTAGATTGCATGGCATCCACTTGCATCAAAAGTGGAACGTACGGAGGGATGCCAGTTTCAACTAATCGCGACGTTAGGTTTTCGAGGACCCCGGACAGCACCTGCGGGGAAACTTGCATCAAAAGTGGAACGTACGGAGGGATGCCAGTTTCAACTAATCGCGACGTTAGGTTTTCGAGGACCCCGGACAGCACCTGCGGGGAAAGTTGTATGAAAGCTAGTATGCCACTTGATCAAACGTGCGACAACAAAAGGGGGTGATTTGGCGCCAATGTGGACCTGATCCAATCCCAATGGCATGCCAACGATGCCACGAGGAATGGGACTGCACAACGGAACTTCGCCGGATAATACGTGGAAAACCCGGGCAAAATAGAGTCCCATTGCACCGACGACAAAACCACCCCGTGCAAGTGCGGCGGCAGTGCAGAAAACGATGCGTCGTTGACATTTAGTCCTGCCAAATCCATTTATTCCCGAGACAGACATCGGCGACTTGCCCTCGGTCAACCGATGCTGCCCAGTTGATCGCAATTCGGCAATTTTGCGCTTGTATCCAGCGCTGAACTCTATTCAATATGATCAAACCGTTATAAAATATATAGAAATGTACCATTCATCATGGTTTCGAGTTCGTGATCTAACGTTTGGGGTCGCTCAGTGTACAAGTACTTGATGGCACTTAGAACACCACTGATGGCAGCATTGGAGTTGAACCGTTGAGGTACCAGTTCCACGCCGGCACGATTTCGCTTGTATGACGAGTACGTGAGAAACACCTTGCACAAAGACACACTTATTGGCAGCACGATCTCGCCATGTTGAATGCACTCAGGGTGCTCCTTTTCTACCCAACGGGCTAAGCGTGCCAGTGTCCCTTCGTACTGCTTTCTAGTGCTGTTGACTATACGCAACGCAATGATGTCATCGCCTGGCTCGGCTGGTGTGCTCCGCTCTGCGTGCTTCCGCTTTCTCTGACTCATGCAGAAATGAAACAGTCTGAAATCTATCCGGATAACGTTAGGCTTGTTTCGTAAATCCTAAATATGTCGACATACTTTCAGAACTATACATAATCCAAGTACAGAAAATTGCATATTTTGGCTTTACCAAACAGTTTGTTTCGTGTTCCCTGTTTATATCCGGCATATTGTTTCGCCCGTGTTTCGTAAGTCCATACTATTGCATTTTAATTACACTCATGGACAAAACTTAGGGAACACTCACATTTCATTTGATATCTCATGAAGTATTGAGAGTTGAGAGCGGCTGTTTGAGTATGAAGAGCCAAAAGCAATGCAGAAAACGTGGTTGTAGCTACCGGCGCGCAACTCGCCAGTGTCGAGAACTTTCCATTCAATATTCGAATTTTGAACTCGGACAAAATGAAGGAACGCAAATTGCAATACAAAATTCAATATATTTCTCAAGTAATAATGAGTCTTCTCTCCATTGCGTCGATGAGGTTTTTGACCTCCTCATCGGAAATCATGTCCCACGCAAGCAACACTGCAGCACGCAACTCGGCCACGTTCTGGTACTGACGACCATTGTTGTAAACAACGCGCGACATGGTGGACCAAAGGTTCTCAATTGGGTTGAGGTCCGGCGAACGCGCAGGCCAAAGCAGCAGGTCAATGAACTGGTCGGCACAAAACTGCTTTGTCTCCGCAGAAGTATGAATCGGAGCATTGTCTTGTTGAAAGACAAAGTCAGATCCAAACTTTAGGTGAGCAAAAGGCAAGAGGTACTCCGAGAGAATGAAAACATAGTCACCTGAGTTCTGCTTTCCTGTCAGGATAGCAAGTGCGCTCTTACCGCACCTGGCGATTGCACCCCAGACCATGACGGAGCCACCACCTTGCTGTCGCATGACGAAGCTTCGCTTCGGCTGCCGAATATCATGCCAGTAGTTCTTGTAGCCGTCCTGTCCGTCTAAATTGAATTTCTTTTCGTCCGAAAAGACAATATTCGACCAATCGAATAGATTCTCGGCATGGTCCATGGCCCACTTGAGTCGTGCAGTCTTGTGTGCCGGCGTCAGAGGCAGTGTGCGTTGCATCTTGGTGTAGTCGAGCAGGTCGCATCGCTGCAAGACTCGACGTGTTGTACGGACATTGCATGGCAGCTCGCAAGTCTTGTGCAAGGTTGATGCACTTGAGCCAGTCTTGCAGGCTTCGCGAACCAATCGTCGGGTTTGCCGTTCGGTCAGGGCAACAGGTCTCCCACATTGCTTTTTCCGTCGCCCAAGTTGACGCAAGCAGCGAGAAATCACAGCAACGGACTTGCCCGTGATCGCACGGATAGCTCGGTACGTCATTCCTGCCTCACGAAGGCCTTTTATGCGGCTACGCATCTCATCGTTGAGTTTTTCGCGACGCATATTGCCGAATGACATTGATTTCCTATGCGCTTTTGATTGACCAACACTCAAAATGTCTTGAATTTTGTATTGCAATTTGCGTTCCTTCATTTTGTCCGAGTTCAAAATTCGAATATTGAATGGAAAGTTCTCGACACTGGCGAGTTGCGCGCCGGTAGCTACAACCACGTTTTCTGCATTGCTTTTGGCTCTTCATACTCAAACAGCCGCTCTCAACTCTCAATACTTCATGAGATATCAAATGAAATGTGAGTGTTCCCTAAGTTTTGTCCATGAGTGTAGATACTATTCTTTATAGACTACCACACATTTCAATGTTGTAATTCTCCACTTTGCCAATTCACACTGCTTACTGGGTCTACAGCTAAGTGAACCCTTGCGCATTCAGCCATCGCGAGCAAGGTTGATTCTATCTATATCC